CCCGACCCCAGAGCTTTCCTCGAACTGACATGTCGCCGTAAATCAATGCACAAGTGACGGCAGGGAGTCTCTGCGGACGGGGCGGAGAGGGGAGCAGTCCGTAAAGCACGTCATTTTTGCAACGTCCCGTTCGAAAAGAGTTGCTTTTGGTTCTTTCTCTCTTATAACCTCTTTGGATTTTGAGGGGCCGGTTAACGCCGTTTCGCATGCCCCAAAAGAGACCAGACTAAAGTCAAATGATAAATGTGACTGTTCAGGGGGCGCGGCGACGGTCGCGCGCCCTCCCTCCCTCCCTCCCCATCCACGTGCTCGGATTAATAGGGCTGCTCTTGCTTTTCCATCCTCCTTAATTATCGTATTATACGGATGCCCCCCTTTTTGCGAGCGAGAGAGAGCCCCATGCGAGACGCAGGGCGTGGCGGGGCGTGGCGTGGCGAGCGGGCGGTCCTGGGCCGGGGGCCCCTACAAGCCCTACGAGGGGCCCTCGGGCCTCCGGGGCGCTCTCCGGGTGGCAATAAATATTGCCCACAGCGTTTGCAGGTAGACCGCAGCCCAAAGAGTCCGATAAGACTCAAATTCGACCAACGGCAGCAAGCGTTTGCTTTTAACTTTACCCTCGTCTCCCTCGCGCTATCAAAATCGCTGCTACCGAAGCACGGTCTCCTCGTGGAGTGTCAACAGGTAAAAGAACTAAAAGACATGGGTGACTCTGCTATCTGATCTGGCATCCGTTTTTATCCTCTGTTTTTATTTCATTCCTTCTTAACCCCCCTCCTCCCTTTTGCTCCTTTTTGAAGACTGCATACTTATTGCTAACGACAGTCGGGCGCGGCGCGTTCCTAAAGTGTCCCACTATGTGTCCCGCTAGCCGCGGCCGAACGGCCCGCACACGGAGAGTTGAACGCGTTCAGCGCCGCCAAAGTTCAGGCCTGCGCGAGCCACAGCTTTGAACCTCCACTAAAGCGTCGTGTACTTGTTTTGTGCTCCTCCAGGAGGTGTGCGGCCCGAGCTGTTGCTGCGGGACCCCCTCGCCGTCAACGACTGGGACGACGCCCGGTGCGACCGGCTCGCCGAGGACGTGGCCTACGCCGACCAGAACACCGTGGTGGACAACCCGCCCAAGATGGCGGCCAAATGGGTGTCTGAGGGGTGAGTACTCTTTACTGTCTAAGCTGTCTAGGCCGGTCCTCCCACGATACTGTATACTCTGTGCTGCAGTCGTGACCGCCCCCCCCCCCTTCTTTTTCACCCGACCGCCCGGTTTCTGTTTACCCTGCTCGCTCCAGAGAGCTGTGTACACATGGGACGGGGCGGCCAGGTGGATCACAATGGGCCTCATCTCGTAGAGTCCACTCCAGCGCCAACGCCACCCAGGAGGACGCCCCCTCTGCTCCCCGGGGATGGCCAACCTGTGCACGATCCAGTACCCGAGTGTTCCTTTGGCCCGACCCGCCCGCCCGCCCACCCCTCCGCCTTCCTCGTCGTCGCGGTGGTCCGTGGGCCCGTATCAGCTGGGGGTGCAGAGTTGGTGGGGGGTGTGGGGCACGTTACGCACTTCGTGCCGCGCGGGGAGCGTTACACGCACTTAGTGCCGCGCGGGGAGCGTTACACGCACTTAGTGCCGCGCGGGGTGCGTTACGCTCTTGGTGCCGCGCGGGGAGCGTTACGCGCACTTAGTGCCGCGCCCTCCGAGAACACGCCACCCAGGACGGAGGCGACCCGAGGCGACGAGCCACCTGCCGGGCCGGGCCATGGCGCAGGGACAATGTCACTGTGTGCTGCCCCGGTCAGGTGTGGTCGCCCCGTCGTCCTGGCCCATGTTCATACAATTAAAACGTACCCAAGGCGTCCACTGTCACAACTTTCTTTTGTTTTGCCCGTACCTCCGGGGGTCCAGGGGCCAGCCTCCCACCCCTCCTCCCCTCTCTCCCGCCCGCCATTTTGGGTGCAGAGATAGGGACTACTCGAGTAAGGTGACCCTTGTCTCTGTCGACTTGACAGGTCCCCGTCGTGGCTCCGTAAAGAAAATAAAAACCGTTCGTTCCTCCCTTTTCCCGAAATATGCTTCTTTTCCTTTTCACGACGCATCGCATGCTGTGTGTGTATTTTTCTAAGGAGATGTCGAGGAAAGTCAGGTCGCCATTTCCGCTGCATTCTGCTTTGTGGTGAAATATTCGAGTTGTCGCGTTCATGCGTGGGCGCCTCGATCAGATCATAGCGATCACAGCTGGGGGTGGGCCGGGGGGCTCGGGAGGGGGGGGGGCAGAAGCAGCCCGGCCGGGCCTCCGTTCGCCCATTATCATATTAATAGTGATAAATGATATATTCATCAGCCCCGGCCGGCTCCCTCGCAGCGGGGGAATAATAACAAAAGGCTTGATTCCATTCCCATCTTTTGCGGTTAGTTTGTTCTTGAGTTGGGGCAGGACAAGCCCGGCGCCCGTATCACAGATGTAAAATGCGCAACCGACGAGGACAGGGCGCGCTCTTTTGAACAAGATTATGCGTTGTCCAGAGTAAAATATATTTCATAAAGAAACATTTATTATTATTTTCGACTTGTTCGTGAGCAGCACCTTCCGTCCGCCTGTGCCCGCCCTCCTACTGATATTCAATATTTGCCCACTGTCGTGGGAGATGATGGCACCTTCGGGTGAAAAGTGTTTGGACACACAGTGGGCGCGGTCAATATTGGTCTCGACTGCTTAGCGAAAGAGAGGGGGAGTGGGGGGGAAGGCTCGCAAGTGGAAAGCGTATCCCGCCGAGGTGCCATCGCGCGCGCTTGCATTCCTGGAGCCAGGCCAGCCGGGCCGCGGTGCGCTGCAGGGTGCGTGGCTGGCCCGAGGCCACGGCGGCGTGGGCGGCGGGTCAAGCAGTACCGTGCACACTGCATCTGTTTGTACAGCGACGTTCGTTCCGGGATTTGTGTTTGAGGACCAGTTTGGAGCCGCCGCGGCGCGGTTCACGCGCGTCTCCGGTGTCCAGCGCGGTGGTGGGCGAGGAGGTGTCCCGCTCGCCGCTCACGCAGAGGGCCCGTGTGTACCCAACACGGGTGGCCGCGGGGCAACATCTCAGTTCCACGTGAATCAACCCGTCATAGCAGAGCCTCTTGCCGTGCAACAAAAGGGCACCCAGAGGAGCTGGGGGCCGGGGTGGCCCTCGCCAAATGCGCGGACAATAGCGGGGGAGGGGCGGGCAAGACCATCCATTTCGAACGGATTTCACGCCACAGAATCTAAGAGTCCTCCATCTCTGTGGACACACACACACACAGTTTGAATCGGGCGTGCGCGTCATTGTTTGCCTTCCCGTGCAGCACAATGTGGCCCCGCTACGCGCCGCGCCGCGTCATGGCCGGGGTCACAGGGATGCGCGGGGGGTGCGGGGCGGGGTGGTAGTACCTGTCGAGGTGGGCCCGGGGGGGCTCGGAGGCCACAGCTGCAGCAACATTAGTTACTTTACAGTGTTATTCTTCTGGTCCACTTTTCCTCTCTACTGCACCTCATTGCGATCACACGCTCGACTTGCGGCGGCGGCTTGGCCGCTTGTGCTTTTTGCAGCTTTCGGCCGAGCCGAGCCAAGCCGTGCTTACTGCGGACTGCGGACTTGTTGCATTGTAGCAAATGTTGGAGCGCTGGCCGGTCGGAGCCCCGTCCCGTGTGCCCTGTGTGGTCGCAGCTGCACCACATCGGCGCACTGCATTGTGCGGGGGTGCGGTTGGCGTCCGCATGTTGCAGTAGGGCCAGGGCGTCATCCCGGTTGAAGCAGGGGGTGGGGGCGGCAGCTGCTGAGGCTGAAAGACCCTGCTTCTGCCAGAGGGGCTTAACTAGGTGCAAGGCATGCGCTCCCGAGCCACACCACCGCAGAGGCCATGCCATGTGTGTGGAGGACGCGAGGGGGAGTGGGGGGTGAGTGTGGGGAGGGGAAAGGGGGTGGCCTCCACCGCGGCCTCCGCAAGGACCACATCGTGAAGTGCGATCAGGTGTCGGCGGTTCATGACTGTGGAGTCGGCGGTGGTGGTGTTGGTGTTGTTCGAGAGAGTCCCACCCCCGCCGCGTCGGCTGGGCGCGGCCGCGCTGCCCCCACCACCACACCACCCAGCCAACAGCAGCTAGCAGGGAGCTTTGTTCTCATCAAGTGATTTTTACGAGTGCTGGCCCCCGCCTTTTCCCCCGAATTTTCCCGCCATGCGGCGCATGCATGCATGCAGACGCCCGGGCCTGGCGGGCCCCGCGCCGTAAACCTATGAGTAAACACGTCTGCAGCCCAGCTCCAGCGACACGACGCCGGTTGGGGGAAAGAGGAAAAATAAAAATCGGAGGCGAAACAAAAACAGGACGCGCTTGCGCACCGCCTTCTGGCTGGCTCGGCTGCTCTGTGGTGTGAGAAATGCCTCCTCGGTCTGGGTACTTAAAAAGAAGGCGATGACCGACAACTGTCACGCTCGTTCGGCGGGCTGCCTCGCTTCTGTGCGACTTTATTCGGCGTAAAAGCGAACCAAGCGAACGCCACCCGCAGGCTTCCCGCGCAGGGCCTGCGGGGCCTGCGGGGCCTGCGGGGCCTGCGGGGCGCGGCGCGCGGCGGCCTCGTTGGCGTGTGATGGACGCGACGGCAGAAGGATGTTTTGCCTGCCATCGGGGCGGCTCTGCACAGCTCTGCACGGCGGCGGTGCGGACCGAGCTGGCAGCCCCGCGGCAACAAGCGTGTTTAGCACATGTGAGGTGTGGGGTTGGGTCCCTCGCGCCGCGCCGCCGCGCCGCCCATCCATCCTCCCCCTTGTTTTACGCCGCGCTGGTTTATTTTTCTCGTGACCGTGGTGTGCCCTGTGTGGTGGCGGGGGCCCCCGACGCCGCCCCTGTGCGGCCTCTCCCCCAGGGTTGTTAACGTTACTTTGAAAATGTATCGCGATACCGTTACCTCGTTACTCTACCCTCGGTAACGCGTTACCGATACCGTTACAGCCTTCGGAGAATTGTAACGCGTTACGTTACTGGTAACGTCGTTACTTCGTTACTCGATACATAAAATTAACAATTTTAAAAAAATTCTAGAAAGAAACAGTTTTAAGGTGTTAATGTATTATGAAAGGTATTTTATACGTAAAAAAAGCATGTTAACTGAAGCCAAATTTCTTTTAGAAATATTCTTCGTAATGTTGTATACAATGAAATCTAGCAAAGAGAGCAACACTTTTTAATGTTCTAGACAAGGGGGAAATTACATGCGAAATAAGTCTTACACCTCCCGCAAAATAAATGCGAAATCATGGTGAAATAGTCGCGAAACACCACCCAAATGCCGCGAAATAACCGAAATACGTCGAAATAACTCGTACGCTGTGTTCCCTAGTCATTTCCCCCTCATTTCCCACTCTAAAGAAGTTCAGCTGAGTGAAACAGAGGCGACGCACTGCAGTGACTGACTGACTCAAATGTGACCGAAGGAAGCTGTCACCTGCTATTCCTGCCCTTACCCTCTTACCCTTTCGCCTAGCCTGCCTCCACCACTCCACCAGGCAACACGCCGGTGGCGGTAAGGAGAGCAAAAGGACTGCTGACCTACGGCTGACTCACTGACTCATATGTCTGGGGCGGAGGCTGGCGCTGATACGAAGCGGTCTCCTTGTGACCATACCGCACTTCCTCGGCCAGCGAGCCAGTGCGCGGAGTCACAACATCCCCTCCTCCGACTCCCAGTCCCGCGACGCAGTCCAGCGGCCCTAAGCGCCGCGCCCAGCTATGCTGAGAAGTCATAATATAAGACCTGACCTCCGCACCC